ATTCTTTAGCAATAAACTGTGACTTCAAAAATAATATTCACTGACACTGACAGCAGCAAGCAAAATATCGGTTTAGTCGTTTTAACCTGTCAGATTAAAACAAGAAAACTGACAATTCCGAAGCAGAAGCGGATGATTAAAACGCACCTATTAAAAATATTGCGCCAAGATGTAAGCAACACGTAATAAGGGTTCAAAATGGCGGAGTTTTCTATCTCCTTTTAAAAGGCACTCAGAAAGCTGCGCAGTGCGACCATTCTCCGTATAGTAAAAGAAAATCAAAGTCAAAGTATGTGCCTTGCCTTGGTCATTCACGTGGAACCTCTATGTGCTTTGTGATGTGGACTTAAGGCCAAGTTCAATTTTGTTTGACATATAATCACGATTTTTTTTAGGTTAGAAAATTGCATTATCGATTTTTTTCATTCGAAGAAATAAAAGACGTCACTTTAAATTTCTATCTCTTTATGTCAACAAATTTGTAACACACATACTTTGATTTTCTTTTACTATACGGAGAATGGTCGCACTGCGCAGCTTTCTGAGTGCCTTTTAAAAGGAGATAGAAAACTCCGCCATTTTGAACCCTTATTACGTGTTGCCTACATCTTGGCGCAATATTTTTAATAGGTGCGTTTTAATCATCCGCTTCTGCTTCGGAATTGTCGGTTTTCTTGTTTTAATCTGACAGGTTAAAACGATTAAACCGACAATTCCGGAAGCAGAAGCGGATGATTAACGGCCATATGCACCATTGTCCAGCTAAGTCCTCTGTTATCTAACAGTAGTATAAAAAATAACAGTGTGTTAACAGAATTTGCTATGCACCATCTATGTACCATCTAATTTACCAGTTTCAGTAAGAAATCAGTCTGTTACGTATATATTACTGTTCATATCCTATAAAACCTTATATAGCCCTTCAAAATAAACAAGTAAAATTAAAATAGTCTGATAAGTAAAATTAACAGGCCAAATTTGGTTTGTTACATTAACAACGCCTTTAACAGATTGTTAGTCGTATTTTGTAATGGTGAATACAAAATTGTCAATTTAACAGTCAGTTATGTAGTTAACTCTCTGATAACTATTAACAGAAGAATGGTGCATATGGCCGTAAAACGCACCTGATATTTTGCTTGCTGCTGTCAGTAGTTTATTGCTAAAGAATCAGTTAGCTCACTTGGACCAGTTGAAAGTTCCAAAATAACATCCACTCCAGGGATACAAATTCAGCATACGCAGAAGACTGCTGTTTTATTATAGGCGGTTGTCATATATTGTATTATCCGAGTTGCACAGTGTATAAACTGAAACATTGAGATCCAAAGTGCCGACGCAGAGTGAGCGATCTGATTCTTTAGCTGTAAACTGTGTCACAGGGTTCAAAATGGCCGCGCCCTATGTTGGGCGTGTCGGACCTCTCTCTTGCCTCGTATAGTAATCAAAGTATGTGCAAATACTACAAGGAAGACGGCAGCACGTCGACCACAGCACAGAGTAAGTGTTCTGTGCACAGCACTAAAGGGTATGGTCTGTGCACAGCACGTCGACGCCGGCTATATCAAGCTAGCGGGCACTCTTAGATTAAAGAGACCGAAGATGTAACATTGCACACTGCGCATGCTGTCTATTTTAAGCCAAAGTAACCCACCAATTGAAAATCATTGTTGCACGACGCCACCCGAATTGCTCCGATTTCCATTCAGCGATCACACCTCCACCTGAGTTTAATCACCATTGACAGCTGTTTTTTGATTTATTTGTTGGTATTTTAGCAATTTAAAGTGTTCTAGTTATTCAAGTTCAAAATGTCACGATGTATCTTGAAAAATTGTATGTACTTATAATACAAGTACTACTGTTATGAATATATTCGTTTTCAGCGGTAAATATTTATTAACGTTTTGACATAAAGCGCCATGATTCTCTGGGCTGAACACTTCAGATCCGCATTAAGGGGTTTCAATAAATATTAAGCATCAGATTTCATATTACTTACATAAATTTACAAAAGGGTAAAATTTTGAACATTTAATTTAAATAAATAGTAAATAGGCATTATTGCTAACGAAATTTTGTATTTAAATAGTAGTTTTATAAGAATGTTTTCTAAAGGTAGTTTTTAGCCCTTTTTGGTAGATAAATAAGAGGTAAAGAATCATAGTTGCTAGCTAAATTTTATTTTTATAAGGTATTTTTATAAGAATATTAGATGAAATACAGGATGACCTACTTAAAATTTCAAGGTTCATCTTATTTGCGGTCAAATCGAAAGTGACATTGAATTTTCAGTCTTAAAACAAAGTAATCTAGTATAAACAAAAAAAAATACTAAAGTTACAGGAGTTAGGTCCGATTCCACCGTTGTGTTAAACGGAGATTAAAATGACAGTGTTAATGTAAAAATGTCATTTTAAACTTCGTTTAACACAACGGTGGAATCAACCCTTAGTCACGTTAATAAAATGTTACATTACAAACCCCTAAACAACTCGAACATAATTTTCGTTTACTAAAAAAAATCCAAAATTTAGCAATATTTATTTATTATACAAGCGAATGCGATTTCAAAGATAACTGGATCAAAAAATCCGAATCTCTAAATTTTGGAACTAAATGCTCAGATAAAAGCAAGCGACCGATAGGGGTTACAAAACTAATCGATTTATCGATAATTCTGATATTTTTAATGAAAATCGATTTATCCGCTGTTTTTAATAAATTATTTTCGTTTTTTTTTAAGATAATGTATTAATCGATTTTAAAGGAAATACAGAAAAAGTACATTTATTCAAAATTATCGATTTATCGTTTAATCGGTTTTTTAATTATTTGATTATTTTCGATTTTTCAAAGATATTATATGAAAATAATCGATTGAATATAATCGGTTATTTTCAATGAACTGGAGTGGGGTAGAAAGCTAATGTGCATATTGTATCAATAGAACAATATGCGACTCTATGGGCGCAGCCATTTTTATTTCTCATCTCACTTGGGAGTATTTATAATAACCATTTTCTGTTTCACTTTGTTATTGTTCAATCCACATGCTGGTGGATCAGACAATAACAAAGTGAAATAGAAAATGGTTGTTATAAATACTCTAGAGTGAGATGAAAAATAACCTGTATTTGCCCATAGAGTCGCATGTCAAGCCTATTGACAAGCATTCTACCCCACTCCAGTTCATTGGTTATTTTACATAATCGATATTTTGGTTATTTTTTTAAAATTATCGATTTATTGGATAATCAGCTTTTTAATAATCAATTATTTTCGATAATCGAATAATCAATTTCAAAGGAAATATGAGAATCGGCTTCTTAATTAATTGGTTATTTTCGATTAGGCGATTATTTTGGGATTATTTATTATTTTTGGTATTTCAAAGATAACCAAATTATCGATTTTAAAGGAAATACAATAAAAATAGATTATTGATAATAATCGATTGATCGAAAATAATCGATTATTTAAAATAATCGATCATTCTGTTTTTTTTGAAAATCGATTTGTCAGTTAATCGACTTTTTAATTAATCGAATATTTTTGAAATACAATAAAATAGATTATTGGTAATAATCGATTTATCATAGAATCGGCTTCTTAATTGATTATTTTCGATTAGGCGATTATTTTGGAATTATCGATTATTTTCGGTATTTCAAAGATAATCGAATTAACGATTTTAAAGGAAATACAATAAAAATAGATTATTGATAATAATCGATTGATCGAAAATAATCAATTATTTAAAAAAATCGATCATTCTGTTTTTTTTAAATCGATTTATCAGTTAATCGACTTTTTAATTAATTGATTATTTTTGATTAATCGATTATTTTCGATTTTTCAAAGATTATCGAATAATCTGTTTCCATGGACGAAAAAAAAATGGTTTATTTGAAAATAATCGATTATTTAAAATAAACGATAATTCTATTTATATTATATGTTGTAAACACTGATTTATCGGTTAATTGGCTTTTTAATTAATCGATTATTTTTGATTTTTCAAAGATATTCAAGTAGTCGATTTTAAAGGAAATGACAAAAAATATATTGTTTGAAAATAATCTATTGATCGAAAATAATCGATTATTTTCAATTATCGATAATTTATTTCGATAATCACTCATCCCTAGCGACCAAATGACTTTTAATAGATTTAAATTTTAAAATGTTATCTGGTTTTAGACATATGCATTTCTAGAGTTTTATGTGACTCATCCTTTATAATAAATAATATTCTTAAAGAAAGAAGCCTTAATATACTTTTTCTGAGGTTACAATACAAAACAGCATTTTCTCATTTTAACTAATTTTTAATAATATGTAATAGCCGTAGAAAAAATATAATGTTCAACTCATAAGGGTAGATTTGCAGTATTAGCCTGCGCACATGCTATTTTTATAATACTCGTAGACAATGAGTAACATTTTTTGCTCTATTAACAATATATTCTATTTCAACATTTTACTGTAATCTCTTGCAGAAAAGTCCGTAGTAAATAAACGCTAACGAAATATTCTATAAAAGGTCTTCTCTTTACATAAAATGTCGTGGCATCTGTTTGATATTAAAAAATCACGATAATTTGATTTCATAATACAAAATTCGATTAAACACCTTTTAAACAAACCTAATAGTTCATTAAGTTGCTAATAAACAAAGTCCGGTCCCTGTCACAGAGTTCGGGTCGCCGCGTGTCGCCGCCCAGTTCCCCCACTCCGTTAACCCTTCTTTAGAAATTGGCAACATTTGCGCAGGATTAAAACCGGTGTATGTTATATCTCTGGTCTCTTTTATCTAAGCGGGCACTCTATGGCGTCACCAAACAGGACCTGGTTCATGTGCGAATCCGATATCGGACAGGGAGCCACTGCCTTCAAGGTATGTGATAAATTCGGACGATCACTTCATATCTTAAAAGAGAGAGACATAATCACAATGAGCTGTCAAAAGAAAAGTGTCAAAGGAGAAACTTTCCATCTCAGAATTTTGTATTTATAAAATAAAGATAAAACATTATAGGATAATAGGATGTGGGTTAAATGTGAGGTTAAATTTTATTTTATAGGAATAGGATTATAGGAAGAAATGGTATTTGCTGGCTGAATCTTTCTTGTAATCTTGTTAACCTTCAGCTAAATTTCATATTGTGCAATATTAGCGGCGGTACACGTTTAAAATATGTTATTCGAATTTAGAACTTGTATCAGTGCGGGCGATCATGAATGTATTCCAAATGCTTCCACCAAATTTTGCAATTGTTAGAAAAGTTTTTCATTGTTATCATCAAAATGTGCAGTAGTGTTAAAAATGACAATGGGAAAGTTGTTCCGTACGCTTTTCGTGCATTTCAATATGAAAAAATATCTCCAAACAAGGGTTCGAAGTTACCCTTTCCTCGAAGTGGTCATAGAATAGGAGCGGATTCTTCTAATTTTTATTCATTTGGCGGTTACAACCCCTGGGTGAGAGACGAAGTTGAACAAAATGAAGATGATGATTTTTGGATACAATCATATCCATTGTTCCAGGAACTGTGGAAGTTTAATTTTGCCTCTAGGGAGTGGACTAAGTTTAGAAATAGTGAGACTCTGCCCATGGAGCTGGCTTCAAATGCACTTATACTGCATGGAAATATTTTGATGGTATATCTTTGTGTAAGATTTTAAAGTTTAGTGTTTGATACTAATATCAAATAGGTAATTGTGTCAATAACCATTTAACTTAACATTGGTAAAAATAATTAAATACATATTACAATTCATTAGATTACTAGAAAATTAATAATGTCTTCAAATTTGGTAATTGGTGTAGTGTTTCATGTAATGTGAATGAATTGACACCAGAAAAATAAAGAGTTCAGAGTACTTAAACCAGTAATACTAAAAACAATGAATTAGGCCAAAACATGGCCATTGTCTAGTTTGATCTCTTTTCGCTTATGAAAATCCTAATCATATGTACTTGTAGATATCACTATTGTAAACAAAAAAAATCTTAGTTCCATATCTTATGCAAATTAATGACACAATTTATTTTTTTAAATCAAAATAGGTATTTCATAAATAGTCTCAATTGAAAGCTCAGGAGCCCTATTCTCGAATGTCTATTAAAAATGTTGCATTTGTCATAATGTCTACTACTAATGTCTATCAAAATGTTGATCGACTGACACTAATCCCTATTCTCAAAGACAAATCGACATTTTAAAATCAGTGACATATTTGGCGAATATAACATCTGGCAACATTGGATAAAAACATACAAAACGAGTAAATTACAGCACACAATTACTTGTTGGATCTCTTAGTAATACAAAATAATACTGCAAATATATCCCAAAGATATATCTTTTTGATAAATACTAGGCAATTACAGAGTAGAGAAAATGTAATATTTTTAACTGAAATTTCATAAGGCATTAAATAGAAAATTGGAAACGCAATTTAGTAAGAGATTAAATAGAAAAAAAAAAAAAATATATAATCTAAACACTATATGAAATTTCTTGGATAGATAGAACTAATGAATGATAAAGTTTCATTTCTCTTAAAAATAAACAAACTATCACTGTCATAATACTCATAACATTATCTTAAAAAAGGTATGTGACATTACAATTTCGACTGGTTGAATACCACTCGACTTTATGTCTAACATAATGCCGAATTCGCCATTCGAGAATAAGTTTCTGCATTCTTATTCGACATTTCATCTATGTCACGTGTGGCATTTGGAAATATACATTCCCCCAGAGATGGTACTTTTATGTCTTACACTGTTGCCAAGTCACACAAAAAGTTTACAATTTAATTATTTAGTATCAAAAGTACAGCAATTAATTTCTAATAATTTTCCTCGCCCTAACAATATTTTATAATATACGTAACTGTTAATGGTATTTTTCCCACCCAGCACCCCTATTCACTCCCTTTCAAGCAAAATTGATAAAATTAATGGAAAAATGGCATATTTTTATTTAAGAAAATTATTTGTGTCATTATTCATTTGCACAAGATATGGAACTTAGATTTTTTGTTTACAATGTCAATACTCACAAGTAGGTACCTATGCTTAGTTTTTTCATAGGTAATTGAAAAGAGCTCAAACTAGATATTTACCCAAAAAATTATACAACTTAAACTATAATTTGCAATCCTACTAAACATTATTTTTAAGGTGCATTTAGTCAGCCTGATTTAGTTTTAAGCTATAACATAATGTTAACATAAAAGTTAAATTCAATACATTTCAGTGTACTTGTTTATACAGAATAACCTAAGCATAAACATGGCGAAGATAAATAAAATGCAACTTAATGCTTATATTTATGTAGAAATTACAATTACGTGTATGTGTGTCTTTGTTTAAAAAGAGAAGTTAAGCTATTGTCCTAACTTTAAACCTTCGAACTTCTAAACTATATATTTTTATTAATAATAATTGTGAGATAGCATAGCAATTTCAAAAGCATTTCTTCTAATGCTTATGATTAAAATTTCTGTATAAAAGGTTTTGTTTTAAAATACTTAAATTAATGTACCTATATGTTAATGCTTTAAACTAAATCAATCTGACTAATTGCACCTTTTCTACTCAATATTTTGAGGAAAATTTTGTTGTCCAAGACAAAGGTTTATATTTATATTATATATGTGCATGAAAAATCCAAAATTTGTCACTTTAGAGTTAAATCACTATTTATAATGTATCTTTGCAGTTCTCCCACTTTATACATATGAGAGAGATAAATCTGACTATGCCAAAGACTACCAAAATGAGACACTACTTTCATGCAGTAAAAACTAGAATAGGGTTTTAGAATGAATTGGTGTTATTTACTTTTTACAATGGGTCATTGTCAGAAACGGGTCATGGTGCCAAATGGCACTAAGCATCTGGATCGTTACTCATGGGCATACAAAAATTTTAAAAATGTATCACCTAAGTCATAAAAACAATCTATAAAAATAGGTCTAAGACCAAACAAGTAAAATCGCAGAGACTCATTCAATTAATATTTGTTGACATGTAAAGCATAATTGTATTAAAATCACCTTTAAGTTTTGTTCCAACAAGCTTCAGACTCAAAACTGTACAAAAACCTAGTGTTCCAACACAACCAAAAGTAATCACAAACGATTTGTGTACTGTTAAATCAGTTCCTGGGTCTGAATAGGAACAAAATTGTCAAGACATGCACAAAGCTGCAATATCCTGAAAATTTCGTGATTGTAATTATATTATTTGCATCTATCTTCTCTGGCAGATCTGATGTGTATTTTTTAATCGAGTTTAGTCTTCTTAGTTTTTGTTCGTTATCATTTATTTTATTTTGCGGTTTCTTATTGTAATAGCGTGTCTGTTGAATTTATTAAAAATGTGTTCCAACATAACCGAGTTCAGAGTTGAATCCCAATCCCAAACAGGTAGTCAATTACTAGTCGTTGACAGGTTGTCAAAAAAAGTCCTGGACTATTATGGTATGGTTTCAAGAACGTTGTTGGAACAAAGCTGATGACAATATATGTACTACCTAAATAATTAGCTGCCACCTATGGAAACCATTTAAAATCCCTTTAAATTGTAGTGCAGCTCTCTCTCGATTTTAGTTTCTTGCTCTGTCTATCCTCTCTTGTTATTTCTATTATATATGCTAAAGTAGTTCAAGGTTCACTCTCTCTACCTACAAGTGTTCCTCAAAACGTTCATTTTAAGCAGGTAGTGATTTAGTTCTAATTATTCTTAAAGGAACATTTTTAGTTTTATATTTATCTTTTATAGTACAAAAATCTGCTTGTTCTTTTCCATTGTGACATTTTTTCTTCCTTGTAAAATAATTCTATTAGATGTTTCAAATAAAAATTGTTTGCCCAACTCTTAATAAAATATAGGCATTCATTTTCCTAAGTAGCACATCTTTAAGTTTATACCTAATTTAAATATAATAAATGATTCCATTTACTTAAGTATCTAGTTAGCATGAATCTGTTGAACAAGGTTATACATATACCATATTGAAAAATAATAAAGAAATAAGCCTTGAACTTTTTAAAAGAGTTTTGCAAGATTATTGCTTTTTCCAAGATCAACATTCATTAAATGTTTTGAATATCATTACTATGGTCACTGACCTTGTATGACATAAAGAAATTACATTAATTAATTATTGTGATTTTTATGTAACTGCTTGAAAGTTTGAGTACCTACTAAACCATTATTATTGGAAATAAAATTAATAAAATTTTATAAGATTTTATATTTTAAATATCATTACTGTGATGGACACTGACCTTTTTGTATGACATAAAAAATTACATTGATTAACTATTGTGCATTTTATGCATTGAGATAGAATAAAGAGGAGATGATATGAGGATGCTAAAATGTCTGCACCTTTGCATTACACTTTTATGTCAATGTGAAACTCGAGATAGTGAAGCTGGTCAGTTTTGGGAGAATAAACGCCATTTTTTTTAAAATAGCTTCATTCAGTTAGTCTTCAAATATAAAATTATTGACTTTAAATAAATCAAAGTATGACTCAAGTCGCCATTTTCATTACACTTTTCCATCACTTGAAGTGCATCCATCTGTCATATCGCAAAATAGTTTTATGTCATCTCTACTTTATTCTCTCTCGATGATTTTATGTAATAACTTGAAAGTTTGAACACTAGACCATTATTATTATGCATTCCAATGACCTGTCAATGTGAAAAGCTCATAAATTTAAGAGGGTTGCATCATAGCCTTCCATCTAGGATGCTATTTTTATTTGAAATACTAGTCGCTGAGCCTGCCAATTTATAGAAAATGTATGAGCAGGTTTTTTTAACATAATACTTTGTATTTGACATAAAATATTTAAAATTTAATTATTTATGATTTCACTTATTGTAGATAGACTACATCATATGTCGCAACCCTCGAGACATACCAAACTTTAGCACCGCGTTTTATTTGTTTGGAATGCCCAATTGAAAATAAAAGAGTACCTAATTTTAAAGAATTTTGTTGTATAATTGTTATTTATGTACGGAGTCAGGAAAGTGATTATCGAACCAGTCTGAGATTATGAGCCGAGCGAGAGAAGCGAGCGAGGCGAGTAACAGGCGTGTTCGATAAGGATACTTTGCTGAGGTGGTCCATACAAACTTTTATCGCCTACCGTAAATTATTATAATTAATAAAAAAAGGAGATATTATAACATCAAATTTTAGAATAACAAAGTAAACAAACAATAAAATAACAGGGACTACAAAACAAATCAGTTACATACTATTTCTGTCAGACTGGCATGGCTATACCTACTGATAAATAGCGGCAGATAAAATATTTGATTTCACACTGAAATAAAGTGTTTGTTTACTTCCGCAATGGTAATGTATGGCTCTAATGACAGTTACTGATAAAATGATTTTATCTTAGAGAGGGAATTTTTTGGTCTTCTACTCCTAAAAACACCAGCTATAAATACCTATATCTAAAACATCAACTATATATCTACCTAAGTACATCTTTTGTATTTAAAAAAAAATAATGATAACGTGTTTCATACAATTTTGATATATACGGGGGTTAGCCATAGTGATAATAGAAAAGCACCATATTTTTTACGATTTCTGTTGATTCTGTACACCCAAAATATTCTTT